TTTTGGACTGTGCACTTTTGGGTTAATGTTGAAATGAGTTAAGACTTTGGGGGACTATTGGGAAGGCATGATTGGTTTTGAAATTTGAGGACATGAGATTTGGAGTGTCCAGGGGTGGAATGATATGGTTTGGCTCTGTGTCCCCACCCAAATCTCATCTTGAATTTTGCTCCCATAATTCCCAAGTGTTGTGGGAGGGGGAGATAATTTGAATCATGGGAGTGGTTTTCTCCACACTGTCATCATGGTAGTGAATAAATATCATGAGATATGATGGTTTCATCAGAGGTTTCTGCTTTTGCATCTTTCTCCTTTTCTCTTGCTGCCACCATGTAAGAAGTGTCTTTTGCATCCTGCCATGATTCTGAAGGCTCTCCATCCACGTGGAATGGTAAGTCCAGTTAAACCTAGTTTTCGTCCCAGTCTTGGGTACGTCTTTATTAGCAGTATGAAAATGGACTAATACAACAGACAACTCACTGAGAGATTAGAAAAGCATTGTCTGGAGAATAAGGAGACTTGGTGGATAAACTTGGATCGCTTAAAATGAGTGGTTATTGTCAGGATAGTACAGGGCTGGGATGTGAGTCCTGTGTGCTCCATCAGGATATGGCCTGAGCCCACCACTTCCATGCAGTCCTTCTCACCTTGAAATGGTTAATGCAATACTGACTAAATTTGCAAATAGCACAAAGCTTGCAAGGAGGGGAGATAAAGAAGATGACATATTACCACCCCAGCAGGATATAGATAATTCAGGGCATTGACTGAACAAAAGTGAAATGAGGTTTAATACAAAGCCATGCAAGATAATATATGCACCTGAGAGAAAATAATGCTCAGCACAGATTCAAATTATGGGGGTATTACTCAGGAAGCTGTCGTGCTGAGTGAGACTTGGGGAGGATGGAGGATAACAAATTGAATAGGAGTTCATAGTGCAATGTGATGTCAAAGAAGGGCAGTGCTATTTTGAGATGTATAGACAATATAAAGTGATCTTTGAAAATACAAGAGGGAATGGCGTGCTGCTTTACACCATGTCGGTAAAATCTCACCTTGAACTCCCTGGTGACCTGACTTTAACAAAGACACAGTTAGATGGGAGATTTAGCAAAGATAGTCGTTTGAATGCTATTCAACATGATGCACGGGTCTCACTAGGAAAAGCAGAATTGTCTTCTCATGCCAAGCAAACACATTTATAAAATAGTTTTCTCATGATAAGGTCCTCCTGCCATTATATTTTCTTTAATGCTATTTTGACTTTCAGAAAGGGGAAAATAACAATTTATGCAAGAAAAAAAGACAGAAATAAGGAAATAGCCATTATCAATTCTTTTAGGAAGCAGAAAAATCATGATAGAATTAAGATAGACTAAAAAAATATATTCAGCAATATTTATTGGAATTAAATTCCTGCCTGCTAAAAGCTTTGACTCTAATCAGAGATGACAAAATAATCATACAAGAGTAAACGTGGCAAGAACAGTATTAGTTTACAGAGAATATATGCTATAAAGTTTAAAAAGGAGAGATTTTGTCCTTCAAGCCAGTTAGGGAATTTTTCAAAGAAATTTCTCTCCCTTTCATACTCTTGATCAATAATGTGAGAGTGGGCAGATGGTTGAATATGGAGGAAGTGGAGCCCAAGATGCTGGTGAGGGAGACAGATGATAGGCACCTGAGCTGGCTGGTGGGCGTATTGGGAATGGAAAAGAACAGAAGTGTATAAGGATTTGTATGAAGGAAAAATAAGCAACACTCAGGAAGATGGCTTTGGAATCAAACATACTGCATTTTCATCTGGACTTTAGTACTTAGATCTATATATGTAGTTTATTTAATCTCTCTAGGCCTAAGATTTTTTTTATCAATTGAATTTTAAGAACTACTTTGCAAGATGACTATGAATTAAAAGTAATACATCAGAAGCACTTATATATTAAAATTTGTAGTAAGTTAATGAAAAATGTTTATGATTTTAGCAACTGATTAGTTGCTGAGGGCATAGGAAAAAAAATGAAGTTTTATTCCAAAATTCCTGGAAAAAATTTTGGCAGTATTTTTAGAAATGCATAAAACGGGAGGACTTATCTGCTTGGCAAGGTGCTAGAACTGGGTTTTGCCTACATTGAGTTTAAAGAGATGATAGAACACCCTGGCTTTTAACTTTGCCAGAAATCACCTTTTTGGGTGTTTCATGAACACTGCTGAATATAGTGAAAGCAGAGTCTCTAAAACTGTACCATTTTGTAAAAATTCTGAACCCAGTTTTCAACACCTAGAGAGAGAAGTAGAAATGGGTTAGCATTTCTGTGAAACAGATTTTTGAACATTTTGATGGGCCTCAGTCAAACTGAAAAAGAACTCAGGGCAAAGAATACTCAGATCATTGGATTACATGTGTTATTTTTAAAAAACCTAAGTATCTAGCTATAGTAAAGGATTTCTTTGTGCTCAGTTTCTAATTCGGACAAATAATTGGCAATTTTAAAACTCCTGTTTTCCTTTATTGAAACAATATTTGACATAATTATGGGGTATATATGAGCGTTTGTTACATGCATAGAATGTGTAAGGATCATGTCAGGGTACTTGGGTATCCATCACCTTGAGGATTTATCATTTCTATGTGTTGGTGTTATTTCAAGTCCTGTCTTCTAGTTATTTTGAAATATACAAAAGTTTTGCTAAGTATAGTCACCCTAGTCTGCTATCAAACATTAGAACTTATTTCTTATATCTATTTGTATTTTTGCACCCATTAATCAATTTCTCTTTATCTGTCTCCTGCTCCCACCCACATTTCTCAGTCTCTGATATCGATCAATCTATTTTCTATGTCCAATCTTATGAGATTGAGTGTTTTAGTTTCCATATATGAGTGAGAATATGTAGTATTTGTCTCTCTTTGCCTGGCTTACCTTACTTAACATAATGACCTCCAGTTTCATCCATGTTGCTGGAAATAACATGATTTCATTCTTTTTTTATGGCTGAATAGTATTCCACTGCATATATATGTGTGTGTGTGTGTGTGTGTGTGTGTGTGTGTTTATATATGTATATATAGTATTTCATTGCATACTCACACACGCATACACACACACACACACACACACACACGCTCCCCACATTTTCTTTTTTCCATTCATCTGCTGATGGACATTTGGGTTAATTCCATATCTTTACTATTGTGAATAGTGCTGTGATAAACATGACAGTGGTGTTAGCATATAGTTGTTCCTAATAGTCTCTGTTGATTTTTATCTTTCTGTGGTGTCAGTTGTTATGTTTCCTTTTTCATTTGTGATTTTGTTTACTTGGGTCTTCTCTCTTCTTCATTAGACTAGCTAGAAGTTTAGCGATTATGTTTAATCTTTTTAAAGAACCAGCTTTTCATTTTTTTACTCCTTTGTATTTTTAGTTTAGACTATATTTTGTTAAGTTCTGCTTTATTATTTGGTTTCTTCTGCTAATTTTGGGTTTGGTTTGTTCTTGCTTTTTTAGTTCCTTTGTGTGCATTGTGAAATTGTAGCTTTGAAATCTATTTGTTTTTTGATGTAGGTGTTTGTTGTTATAAAATTCCATCTTAGCACTGCTTTAGCTGTTTCCCACATGTTTTCTTATGTCGTTTTCATTTTTGTCTTTTTCAAGAATTTTTTTTATTTCTATCTTAATTTCATTGAATCAGGCGTGGTTCAGGAGCATGTTATTTGGATTCCATATATGTGTATAGTTTCCGAAGTTCCTCTTGGTATTGATTTCTAGTTTTATTCCATTGCAGTCTAAGAAGATACTTGATATTATTTTGATTTTAAAAAATCCTTGAGATTTGTTTTGTGGACTAACATATCCTGGACAATGTTGCATGTGCTGATGAGAGACTGTATTCTGCAGTTGTTGGATAAAATATTCTTTAAACATCTGTTAGATCCATTTGGTCCAAAGTCCAAATGTTCTTTAAAGATATGTTAGATCCATTTGGTCCAAAGTCCAAGTTTAAGTCTAACATTTCTATGTTGATTTTCTATCTAGATGATCTGTTTAGTGCCGAAAGTGAGGTATCGAAGTCCCCCACTATTATTATATGGAGTCTGTCTCTCTCTTTAGATCTGATAATATCTGCTTTATTAATTTGGATGAGTGCATATGTATTTAAACTCATTATATCCTCTTGCTGGACTGATCCCTGTATCATTATATAATAACCTTTTTTTCCCCACTTTTTGACTGAAAGTCTGTCTTATCTGATATAAGTATAGCTATTCCTGCTTGATTGGGTTTCCATTTGTATGGACTATCTTTTCTTCCATCCCTTTCCATCAATATGTGTCTTTACCAGTAAAGTGTGTTTCTTGTAGGCAGTATATAGTAGAATCATGATTATGATTTTTTATCCCTTCAGCCAGTCTACATATTTAATCTCTTTACATTCAAAGTTATTATTGATATGTGAGGTTTTGTCATTTTGTTGTATTAATTGTTTTCTGGTTGTTGTGTATATTCTTTGTTCCTTTCCATTTCTTTTACTGTTTGTCCTTGTGGCTTGTGGTTTTCTGTTGTGGTACATTATGAATCTTTTCTCTTCTTCATTAATGTTTTTGCTTTACCAGTGTGTTTTATGTTTTTCTGTGTTTTCATGATGGTAACTCCCTTGAGCATTTCTTGTAGGACCAGTCTAGTGGTGATGAATTCCCTTAGCATTTTCTTGTATGGGAAAGACTTTAATTTTTTCTTCATTTTATAAATTAGTCTTTATAAAGCTAATTTTGCTGGATATAGTAATTAGTATCCTTGGTGGTGACAGCTTTCTTCTTTCAGCATTTTAAATATATCATCTCATTCTCTCCTGGCCTGCAAGATTTTTCCTGAGAAGTCCACTGTTCATCTGATGGAGATTCCTCTAGAGGTGACTAGCTGCTTTTCTCTTGCTGTTTTTAGAATTCTCTCTTTGTCTTTGACTTTAGACAGTATGTCTTTACCTCCATCACTGCTTCCCTGAGATTTGATGGAGCACTGAATGTTGACCTGACAGAATTCTAGACCAACCTGGTGCCCTATCCCCACATCCACTTCCCTCTGGCCACATATGCCCCTGTCATCTCTGCTGAGAAAGCCTACCATGAACAGCTTACTGTAGCAGAGATCACCAGTGCTTGCTTTGAGCCAGCCAACCAGATGGTGAAATGTGACCCTCGCCATGGTAAATACATGGCTTGCTGCCTGTTGTACCGTGGTGACGTGGTTCCCAAAGATGTCATTGCTGCCATCGCCACCATCAAGACCAAGCGCAGCATCCAGTTTGTGGATTGGTGCCCCACGGGCTTCAAGGCTGGCATAAACTACCAGCCTCCCACTGTGGTGCCTGGTGGAGACCTGGCCAAGGTACAGAGAGCTGTGTGTATGCTGAGCAACACCACAGCTGTCGCCGAGGCCTGGGCTCACTTGGACCACAAGTTTGACCTGATGTATGCCAACTGTGCCTTTGTTCACTGGTACATGGTTAAGGGAATGGAGGAAGGAGAATTTTCAGAGGCCTGTGAGGACATGGCTGCCTTTGAGAAGGATTATGAGGAGGTTGGAGCGGATAGTGCTGAGGGAGAGGATGAGGATGAAGGGTATTAACTTGTATGCTGTATTTTGTACTCCATTGTCTTAGAAGTGTTTTATTTTTGTTCTGTGGACCTGTCCATTATGGCCCTTAATTGTCAATAAAAGTGACGTTTCCATTAAAAAAAAAAAAGGGAGATATCAGATCCAAGATGGCTGATCACTAACAGCTTGGGATTGCAGCTCCCAGTGAAAGTGCAGAGAACGAGAGGATGCCACACTTTCAGACGAATTTCCATTGCTTACGAACCAGAAGATTCCCAGTGGAGGAGTCCCACGGGTCGCCAGCGCAACTCTTGTGGCCAGCGCAGCGGTTTTGCTAGTGCCTCGGCGCGGCAGCTCTTCGTGCAGAGTAAACGGGACTGGTTCCCCTTCTGACCAATTTTGGAGTTCCAGGAAGGCAGAGCCACTTATTACGGACTCAAGAAGAAAGCCAGACTAGAGATTCCAGAGCAGAAGAGCACCATCAGTCTTATCGCTGCTGTTTTGGCCGGTGCAGTGGGTTGCTCAGATTCCAGAGCTGGGAATCAATAAACTGGACGTCCACTCAGAAACCTAATTAGGAAGGAGGTAATTGTAAAGATGACAGATGGATAAATTTATAACAAAGGGAAGAAACCAGCCTAAAAAGGCTGAGAATACCCAAAATCAGAACGCCTCTTCCTCTACAGGGGATTAGAGTTCCTCATCAGCAATGGAACAAGCCCTGATGGAGAAGGACTGTGTTCCATTAACCTTCATCACCACCGATTGCAAGCTGCAAGTGACGTGGAGTGATAGGCTTTACTTTGAGATCCTTAGAAGCATTACCTGCCAGCTCCAGTACCTCAGCAGTGAGGTACTCCAGAATCGCAGCACTGTACACGGCAGCAGTGGCACCCACCCTTCCATGGCTTGCGGTGCGAGTCTTCAAGTGTCTGTGGATGCGGCCCACAGGAAACTGTAGCCCAGCTCTCTGTGAGCGAGATACTGCCTTAGCCTTGGCCTTCCCCCTGTCCTTTCCAGCTTTGCCTCCAGCCATGGTCTCGGGGCCGACTCTGCCTCTGCTTGGCTGCGCGCCCTCCCACTGCTGACCCGCACTGCCACTGCTGCTCAGAAGGCTTCAGAAGGTGGATGATAAACTTCTGGGAGTTAAAAGAACTTGTTCTAACCCAATATAAAGAAACTAAGAACTTTGAAAAAAAGTTTGACGAAATGCTAACCAGAATAGACAATATAGAGAGGAATATAAATGAACTAACGGAGTTGAAAAACACAACATGAGAACTTAGCGAAATATGCACAAGTTTGAATAGCCGAATTGATCAAGCAGAAGAAAGGATATCAGAGGTCAAAGACCTACTTAATGAAATAAAACGAGAAGACAAGAGTAGAGAAAAAAGGATAAAAAGAAATGAGCAAAGTCTCCAAGAAATATGGGACTATGTGAAAAGACCTAATTTACGTTTGATAGGTGTACCTGAATATGACGGAGAGAATGAATCCAAGCTGGAAAATACTCTTCAGGATATTATTCAGGAAAACTTTCTGAATCTAGCAAAGCAGGACAATATTCAACCCCTGGTAATACAGAGAACACCACAAAGATATTCCTCAAGAAGACCAACCCCAAGGCACATAATCGTCAGATTCACCAGGGTTGAAATGAAGGAGAAAATACTAAGGGCAGCCAGAGAGAAAGGCCAGGTTACCCACAAAGGGAAACCTATTAGACTTACAGCAGATCTCTCAGCAGAAACCCTACAAGCCAGAAGAGAGTGGGGGCCAATATTCAACATCCTTAAAGAACAGAACTTTCAGCCCAGAATTTCATATCCAGCCAAACCAAGCTTCACAATTGAAGGAAAAATAAAATCTTTTATGAACAAGCAAGTACTCAGAGATTTTATTACCACCAGGCCGGCTTTACAAGAGCTTCTGAAAGAAGCATTAAACATAGAAAGAAACAACCAGTATTAGCCTTTCTAAAAATATACCAAAAAGTAAAGAGCATCAACATAAAGAAGAATCTATATCAACCAATGGATAAAATAACCAGTTAACATCAAATGGCAGTAACCCTAAATTTAAGTCAATTAAATCCCCCAATCAAAAGATACAGCCAAAACCTAACAGTATGCTGCATCCAGACCCATTTCACATCCAAAGATACACAAAGACTCAAAACAAAGGGATGGAGAAAGACTTACCAACCAAATGGAGAGCAAAAATAAATAAATAAATAAAAAGCAGGAGTTGCAATTCTCGCATCTGATAAAATAGATTTCAAAGCAACAAAGATATAGTGGTAAAAGGATCAATGCAACAATAAGAGCTAAGGATCCTAACACCCAGATTCATAAGACCCGTAAAGAGACTTAGACTCAATGAGACAGAAAATTGATGAGGACAACCAGGACCTGAACTCAGATCCGGAACAAGTAAACTTAATAAATATTTATAGAGCTCTCCATTTTAAATACACAAAATATATATTCTCCACCTTAAATACACAAAATATTGATTGGCCATTATTAATACCCATTTTTAGAATAAAGCAACTTTCACGTTCTCTCTCCCTCTTTTTCTTCCTCTTTCTTCCTCTCCTTCACTCCTTTTTTTCTCTTTCTTTTCTTCTTTCCTTTCTAAAAATAATAGACAGTATGAATATAATGTGCTATGGAAAAAATGCTTTTTGCATTGTATCTGTTCGGGAATCACTGGGCCTCCAGTTTCTGGATGTCTTAATCTCTTACTAGACTTGGAAGTTTTAATATATTATTTTGCTAAATAGGTTTTAAAACTCTTTTTTTTTTCTCTCTGTGCCTTCTAGATTACTGATAATTCATGTTTTTGATCACTTTATGGTATCCCATGTATCACAAATTCTTTGTTCATTCTTTTTCTCTGTTTTTGTCTGCCTAGGTTATTTCAAGAGATCTGTCAACTGTCTTGCATGCTCTGCTCATGTACCCCAAAACCTATAATCCAATAAAAAATTAAAAAAAAAAAAAAAAAAAAAGAGAGATCTGTCTTCATGTTCTGAGATTCCTTCTTCTGTCTTATCTAGTCCATTGTTGAAGCTTCCAAATGTATTTTGTAGTTTGTTCAATAAATCCCACAGTTCTAGAATTTCTATTTGGTTTGTTTTTATGGTATCTATTTTTTTTTTAAATATCTCATTCACATCATGAATTATTTTTCTGATTTCTTTGCATTGTTCTTTCAGAAGTGTGTTATATTTCACTGAGTTTCTTTAAAATTGTATTTTAAATTGTTTTTCTGGGATTTTGTGAATTTCTTTTGGATTAGGATCTGTTGCTGGGGAATGACTGTGTTCCTTTGGAGGTGTCATATTTCCTTGCTTGTTTATGTTTCTGGTTTCCTTACATTGATATCTGCACATCTGGTGTGATTGACACTTCTTCCAATATTTTGAATTTACTTTTGTAGGGAAGGATTGTTTCTTGAGATGTATCTATGATATTGGTTGAGTAAGGCCTGACTTTGGGTTTGATTCTGGGTGTATGCAGTAGTGTAGTTTCTGTATGGTTTCCTCAGCTAAAAACATCATCAGTAGAATCTGTGATTTCCTCAGTGGCTTAGAATGCAGTTGTTGGTGGAGGCTGTAATGAAGTTTTCCTGGTGATAGGGATGCCAGGTAGCAAGTCTTCAGGCCTCACTAGTGGCACGGGTTGGCTGTCCTCACTGTGCCTGTCCTTTGGCCTCACAGTGGTATATGCTGGCACTGGTGTTAGTGGGTTCAGGTAGGTCCTTTCTTGGGCCTCCAGGTAGCTTTCTCAGTTGGTAGTGGCAGCAGTGGGTTGGGCAGGGGGACAGGTTTCCGGGCTCTTGGGCAGCTGATGTGGCACGGGCAATGGCAGTAGCAGTGGCAGGACCCTCTGGTTCCTGAGCAGTGCATGCTGGTATTAGTGGTGGCTGTGATGGGCTGGGAAGATCAGTCTCCAGACTCCTAGGTGGTACATGTGGGTAGGTTATGCATGGTGTTGGTGGCAGCCTGGGTGGACCCATCTTTAGGTTCCCAATGGTGAATGCACAGATGCCAGATGTGGTAGAATGGGTGGAGTGATGCCCAGATCCTTGGGCAACATTCTCAGGCTCGGAAGAGTAGTGCCAGCCCAGGTGGGTCTGACCTCAGGCCCCTGGTCGTTTGCAGTGGCATAGGCTGTAGTAAACAGAATGGGCAATCTGTGATGGTGGGTGTGGAGAACCTAACCTCAGGAACTTGTGCTAAAGCACAGCAGTCCTGCTGTTGATGTAGGTGAAGTTGCTCTTAGCAGCCCCCTGCAGGCAGCTCTGAGGCTCTGGTGAGTGTACATTTTGTCTCTGGGAGCAGTAGCAGCTGGCTTGGTATGCCTGGGGAGCCTATATTTGGGATGGCCCTGGAACACAGAGGCCACGCTCTTGGAATGGGTGAGGTTGGCTATCATGGCCCCAGATAGTAGCTCTCAGGTTGTGGGTTGTGCTTTTTTGGCTCCTGGCAGCGGTGGTGTTCAGAACAGGGAGGGATGTTGCCCTCTGTGCATGGGCCAGGCACAGAGACCATGCAGCCAGTGGGGATGTGGTTGCCACACATAGCCCCAGACACACTGCCCTCAGGCTCACCCACCCCTACTCTTGGTGGAAACAACAGTGGCTGCAGCAGTGTGCAGAATGGGGAAGAAATCTTGCTCTATGACAAGACTGAGCATAGAGGTCACTCCACCAGTGGGTCAGGGTTTCTACTCCCAGACCAGACAGTCTACCCTCCCTCAGGCTTGCCCACCTCAGCTCCTGGTGGCAGCAACTACTGTGGCAATGTGTGGAGTAATGGAAGGAGTTCCAATCTCTGACAGTTGGCCTGAGAATAGAATCTGTGCTGCTGCTGGGGGTGAGGTCACTTCTCACAGCCCCAGATAGGGAGCTCTGGAAGTGCATGCTTTGGTTTCCATTGTGCCACCTCCTTGGTGAGTTGCACCATCCTTTTACTTGGGTGTAGTATATCATGTTGCCTAGAGTACTACAGACCCCCAGCATCTTTGGGTCTAGCCAGCACTGTGCCACTGTAGGCCTTGATGTGAACACTGTGGGGGATATCAGTGGGAGCTTCTGGGATGTGGATATACAGAGGCTTTGCTTCCCAGGCAAGGATGATGTCTCAGGATGGCTGGGCTCTCACAGCAGTGTCATGGTGCAGCTGCTTAGGTCTCATGGTTGTGTGTGATCCAGCACCGTTCCCTCTTTGGTGCAGTACCTTCCAGAGTGTCCAGATCACTGCCTACACTAGTCTCAGGGCTCATGTGGGTAGAGGAGCTCTCCTATGGCTAGGATTGCGGCAGGTCACTGTGGAATGTGGACTGCTCAGGGCCTCTCACTTACCCTTTTCCTGCAAGAGGGAGTCCCTTGGGCTCCCAGTTGATCTTGGCTGACCTGGCTGCTCACTTCTTTCACTTTCTGTGACTCAGATGTTTACTGTGACTTCTCTGTTGAATTCCAGTGTTCTCTCTGAGATGTTCTATTTGATGAGTGATTATCTATTTACAATTTTGGTTCTTCTTTCTGGAATGGGCATGTGTCTGATGTCTCTATCCAACCATCTTGAAGCTATGCCCCAGTAATATTTTTAATGAAAATCAAGAGTATGTGTGATGGGCAAGTTTTCATAGGGGAGTATCCAGATAAATAAATAAGAAAAACACTAAATTAACAATAACCTGAATAGAGGATGTGGCCAGCATGTCTATCTTGGGTCTGTGACACTTGCTTTAAGGCTTATCTTGTTTTTACCTTTTATGTCAGTAAAGTACTATCAGTTACTCCATTGCCCATAGCCGCAAAACAAAACATGAATATCTGATTAAAATAGTCACTGATGACGCTTCTTTGCACATGTATCTATTCTGTTTTGTCTTCATTCAGAGGTATTTTTATTTCTGTCATTCAAACAATAATTCCTCTTAAAATAATATAATAAAATTAAAAATGTAAGTAACAGCATAATGGGTGAAGTGTATCTAATTTTACTGATGAAAACTTGCTAGTAAAGGACAGAAAGTTAATATTAGTGGTTACAATCACCTTTCTAATTTCCTACATTTATTCTTGCACT